GAGAAATGTCAAGATAAGATTGTGAAAATCTTAAATTGAAATTACTGTATTTATTGGTTTTAAGAATGTGTGAAATAATCTAGTAGCCTATATTTTATTTTTTGAAAATAAGGGGCAGAGAATAAAATTAGACTTTTCCTTCTGCTTTCTGTCTTTCATTTTATTTGTGATTATTTTGTGTGTATAGAATCTAGTAGCCTATATTTTATTTTTTGAAAATAAGGGGCAGATAATAAAATTAGACTTTTCTTTCTCCTTTCTGTCTTTCATTTTATTTGTGATTATTTTGTGTGTATAGAATTAAATCTGTTTTTAAATGAAAATGAATTAAGATCTTGAACTTGAAATAATTCAGTATACAATACACAGGCACACTTTATTTTATTTAAAATAAACCATAAACAGTAACTTTATTCCCACCCACAAAAAAGAAAAAATAAATAAAATCTGTTCAAGCAACACAATGACAACCTGATAACAAACAGAAATATCTCATTAAAAAGCTGTCATCTCCATCACGAAGAAGTGCTTCACTTTGTGTTGTTTCAAGCAGCTTTTCATACTTTTGGCCACAGGGTGGAGCCAAAGAGAACTGTGTTGGAAAGCTTCGAGAAATGAACCCTTTTTCAAAGCAAGCTTCAGTGCTTCAGAAAAGCTTCATTTGCCCATCACTACTATAATTATCTTTTTAATCTCCTGAGACTACTCTTTCCTTCTCTTCCTCTGGTCCATGTTGTGTGTGTGGTCCACACCATGTCAGCAAACAGCACAGTGAGTATCTGCAGCCCTATATACAGACCCACTGATTACAAGATTGTAGACACCTTTGATGCTAATTAGTGGACACACCTTGATTTAACATGACCCTTTGGTCACATTATTTTCAGGGGTAACATAATTTATGTCCTGGCCTATATATCTGTTGAAGCATGGCTGAAAAGCAATGTCTGATTTTCATGTTTTTTTTTAAAGAAATTGTATTTATTACTTTTGTCTGATTCAAGTTATTTCTGTGACCATTGTGGATTTTTCTTTCATTAAACAAGGGGTACCAACAATTTTGTCCACATGTGTAACCCTAATCCACTGAAGATGAAAGGAATTGTTATTCACAGCAGACGGCCTCTGATGTGTTGAACTTGAAATCAGACTGTGATTTGTTTCTGTGATATTAATCCGAGGGTTGTTTTATATGTCCTGTACAAAGAGCATCACTTGTAAAAATGACTTTCTTTTACATGTAAATTAAACTTAATTTTAATAAAGCTGTGAAATTGATAAGACTGCTGCTGACTTTTAAATTTCTAGGAAAAAAACCTGACCACAGCCGTGTTGCTTGTTTGAATATTTCATGAGCTGATGTTCAGCATCGAGCCTTCAAGTACAATTTTATTTAGTGATCAAATGCAAAATTAGATCAACATTTCTTCAAAATACACACTTGTATTTGTGCTACAATCCACCTGCATTAACAAAAACTTCTGCTAAAAGATAAATGAAAATAAAGGTTTCTAGCACTTTATATTCAAACTACACAACTTGTTGATTCAACACTGTCAGCCTTTAATGGATTGTGATTCCATGAATGAAAATGGTCCAAAGATATGCTTAAACCAAAGTTGATTTGTTTAGGTACATACAGATTATTTGTAATACTTGTGCTGCTGAATAACATTAATCCACAGAAAGTAAAGAATCTTATTGAATAAAAGTAGAAACCTCAGAATCAATTTATGTTCATACAGATTCTAGCAGGTAATTATTAACAGCAACAAAAAGAACTCCCAATGTTAGTCATGAAACCAATGAGACAAAGATTTCTACAACAGAACATACTGATGCATTAAACAAATCTATATATTTAGATCAGACTGGTTCTCATCCTGGCTCATGCCTGGAAAATAACGGTTTGTCTTACAAGAAAGTGGAATTCCTCCTACAGATGAAAATGAACTTTGGTAGAGCCTGGTAACCACTAAAAATAACAGAGATATCAGACCTCGGTCCTCCAGTCACACTGTCATACAGAACATCAGGAGACCGCCGAACAGGAGGTATGATGAGGCCTCGTTTACCAGGAAATGTTTTTCCTGTCAGCACCTCTGCCTCCACAAAGTACAGGAACTCTTCATGCTTCTCCTTCCAAAGCTCCATGGCCTTTTCGACTGAACCTGCAAAATAGATGCCCACTCCATACTTTGGATCTGTAACCAGAAGATCAACAAGTAAGTAAAAGGGAACAATTTAATGCCAGTAGGTAATCGCATTTAAGTGAACTAAAATGAGAAGTGGAGCACCACAGGGCTCTACACTCGGGCCTCTACTCATCGTTTACATGCTTCCATTCAGCGGCAAAGCAGAAAAAAATAAATCAGCACTGTACTGTGAACAATTTACAAGCATTCATAAAGAGCCCCTTGAACAAGTGAACAATTAAATCAGAGGTGTCCAATCCTGGTTCACAAGGGCCGCTATTCTTAAAGGGATCCATGATTAGTTGTATCATTAGACTTTATTTAATAAATATATATTTTCACCTTAAAATAAAGCCTGTAAAAATACTGTAGGACGTTCAGTTTTTATCATTTTTAAACTAAAACTTTAAAAATATATTACATGGACGGGGCCATTTTATTTACACGCAAAGCATTCTGGGTAAATGATGACGTGGATAGGTCCTCGGTGAGAGGCTGCTAGCGAGCTATATCCACCCTGAAGRTTAATCTTGGACAATATCTGATGATAGACTCTTTTAAATGAAACCAGAGAGTGTTGACAGAGAGGAGAAGGTAAAAATGACTCAGCCTGGAACTGAAAATATGGATGGAGGACAACAGAGCTGCTTCATGGAAGAAGAACCTCAGATTAGCCTGTTAGCTTTAGCGTTAGCCCCAAAGCTATCACCATACATATGTATTAGCTCAGCGCTACACATTCTCTCGTCACTGAGGTCCTCCATCCACATGACAGAGAGGGGAACACAAAAATGACTCAGTCTGCAACTGAAAATATGGATGGAGGACCTCAGTTTAGCTTGTTTGTTGCGCTAGCACTGAGCTAATGCATATAAGGCAATATAGCATCAGCGTTACAGCTCTGTTGTCCTCCATCCATATTTTCAGTTACAGGCTGAGTCGTTTGACAGGTTTGCTTTATCTCAAAAGTAACAACTAAAGATGGACAAACTAGTTTTAGTTTCTGTGCACCTTTTCTGTCAAACAAATTCTCAGATAAGGTATTTTTTAATAATATCTGTGCCATATAACGTGGTGTTTTATGGCATGTATTCTTGTTGGTATTTTTGTCCTGTTGAATTTTACTGTAAAAATCAGTTTTCTGTGGTTTTGATGAAGCAGTCAGACTGTAACTCTGCGTTCCAATAGGTTTAAAAACAACCTGCGATCTCTGTGGGAGTGTTCTCATACCTTCAGGAGGTGCACACTCTGCATGGAATCCAATGTGGCCGATCATCTCACAGAACTGTGCAGGTATACGCTGAAACATTCTTTCAGAACTGGAACAGCCCAGTTGTTGTTTTTTCAGACCAAACAGAACCTCCAGAGCAGGATTTTTCACTCTGTCTACCTAAAACACACAAACAAAATAGACAAATCACTATTTAATCAGTAGATTCAAATAAAATTTACTGCAACAAACTGTTAGAGAATTTGTTACAAAATCACTACTTTGGTTTATAGTTTTAATAAAGCAGTGCTTCTATTTTTAAACAGCTTTTCCATGATGTTTAAGTAGATTACCTTTGTTACACGCAGCCCCTGAGCTTGGAAGGCCCGTTCACGTTCTGAGAACTTTGGGTCTGATACGACATCTGGCTGTCTTTCAAAAGATGCTTTCATGCCTGACAGTCGCTCCAATTCACGTGTTTCCTCTGAGACAAACTCTTTTTGGATCTCGCAGAGCATTTCCTCCACCTTCAGTGCAGCAAGAACAACATCTTCGCTCGATTTACCATCTATAGTTAAACTGGCGTGACCTTTGGTGAAAAACTCTTCAATCTGCACCCCATTTTCAGATAAAAGAGACAGCTTCAGGTGGTCCTGCTCGCTCATGTGCAGGAGGAAGTTGTTGTGGATCTCGACAAAGCGAGGAGCGTTATTAAGAAGGTCACTGAGCCACTTTTCAGCCTCACGTGTTGATTCTTCAGATGGACCACACAGGCTGATCTGTGGCTTTGAAACCTCAGCAGCTGAAAAAGACAAAAACACCTGCTTACTACAGGCACAACAAACTACCACTGTTAAAAAATAAATTTTCTGTTGGTTCTACTGCACTCTGCCTTTTGTCCTAAGTTCTGCATCCTYTTTTAAAGGAAATTTTGATTTCAGGAAACTTGTTACTTTACCAGAAAAATTGAAATGTTTTATCTTCTGTTTCATATGGGGTGCCATTTGTAAAGTTACACGGTCAAAAATTACCACCAATATTTTTGTTTTATTTAGCCTTTTATAAGAAAAAAAAAGAACTGATTTATTTTTCAAAGTCAGTTTTTCACCATATGATTCATACATTTATAAATGTCATAGTTTATAAACTAAATATTTAACTTACACATTAAATATTTAGTTAACAAGCTAAATATTTAACTTGTGACTTAAATATTTAGTTTTGAGCTAAATATTTAGCTTGAAACTTAAATATTTAGTTTTGAGCTAAATATTTAGCTTGAAACTTAAATATTTAGTTTTGAGCTAAATATTTAGCTTGAAATTTAAATATTTAACTAGCTAAATATTTAGCTTGAAACTTAAATAT